TCAATTTAAATATTTGAACAAAACTGACATTCAATATATATATGTATATAACGTAAATTTTTCAGTTCAGATAAAAAAACGAATAAATTAAAAAATAAAAATGTATAAAGACTCGTACAACGTGTTGTGTTCGTAATATGTGTATAATATGTTATTTTATTTACTTAATTATTGTCGTTCTTAATCAAAATGTAACTAAGCAGAAGAAATGTTCAAGCGTAAGGTTATTTCTCAATTAACGGTAGTTTTTATTGTAAAAGAAATTTGGAGATAAAATGTCCTACATTTTCGGGCGTCAAATATTTTAACATCATTAAAAATGAATAACCTTTACATTGTATACATTTGAAGAAACCTTAGACCGCGATTGAGCATTTCCATTTAATATCAACAAAGTTCAGTTAACATTTGCGGTCTACCATTACGTTATTTTGTAAGTTCTGTTTTAGCCGTACGATTTCTTGTTAAAACATATTTACTTAAGTACTTAACTCCAAATAATAATGTCTTAATGCACATGGTCGTTTTCCATTTTGCATTTCAACACAGGTATTCGTTATTTGGCTTAAAAGTTAAACCTAATAATGTAAGATATTGTGGATTAATAAACATTATAAGTTCTAGAAGTTTTCTTCCGTCTTCTTTTGAATGTCGGTTTTTGAGTAATAGCACACTATTAGCATTTTATTGAGCAAAATGAAAACTTTATGTAAATCGTTTCGATTATCATTGGTTTTACTCATTTACATACGACACGCCCCATTGACTTAAAATTAGTTTAGACGAGAAGCAATAATATTTAAGCTTTGAATCCGATTCCTTTATATTTAAATATTATTTTCTCTATCGATGACAAATTGTATTCAATTAGAACTTTCAAAAAGCGAATTTTGAGGTCCAAAGTTAGGAACGTCTTAACACTTCATCAAACATTTGCATAATATTTATAAATCCGTCGTGCCATATTATAATATGTTATAATACTTCTTTTTAAATAATATAATAATAAGTAATAACCAATACATAACATCTAAATAATTTATATGTATAAAATATAATCGAATTTATTATTAGAAATATAATTGTTTGGAAACATAAATCATTTCCGATGACTATTTTCTATCTGACATTCGAGATATTAATTTTAAGTTGATTTTTTTAATGATTACAATTAAAATATTCTAACAATTAATCAAAATATGCACATACCGAGCTACTTAGGAATTCACAATTATTATAAAAATTAATTTGTTTATTCCAAATTGTTTTGTTCATATTGTATAGGAACAGTGGTCTATTTTATACCCACCGAGGAGTTGATTTAAATATTATACGATTTACTTCAACCGCAGTGCTTCCATCTCAGCGACTAGATATTTTTATACTATTAATATACACCTCGATATCCCTTTGTAACAACCAACCATTTATGGAATTTATGTGTCTCGTTTAATATAATGAATTTTCCTTGCGATAACAGAAGTAATTTACTAAAATATACGTACTTTAAGGTGCCGAGGCTCCCGCATTTTAGATATCAATGTTACTACATATACTAGATAACCTGAACAAATAGAAATGGTACAGCTAATTCGGACGACTCACGATATCTACTGATGGCATGGAATATAATAAATTGCTCGCAATTAGCCCATTTGTCGGATAGTTAATGATCCGATTAAACTCAATCTGTTGGATTTGGATTCACTATTAAATTCATAAATCCTTCCTTTTGTCTGGTCAAATCGCGTAATCAAGTAAATACAAAACCATTACTGTCCAACAAAAACATATCTAAAGGATTTAAAGGTGAAAAAACAAATATATACATATATATATATATATATATATATATATATATATGATTATTTCTAAAGCCAAGCCCGATGTGCTTTTTTCCATTTCCGAATTGTGTCACCTATAAACACTAAATCACTTCCCGTTTGCTTCGTGTGTGGCGAAAGAAGAGTTAACCGAAATTAAATAAAGTCATATCTTAAAAAATTTGTGTAAAACGTCGCTCGGTCTTTCCATATACATCAAAACACTTCAGACGTAAAGTGTAAGCGTACTTACTTACAAGTTAATGCGAAGTATAAAATATATTCAGTTTTCATTGAGTATGCTAGCAAACACTCGAAGTAGAATTCTCGCTAGCCGCATGATATTTTAAAATTCTCTTTGATACTAATGGCCAAGTTACCCACAAAGTAACGGTAAAAGAACACGGAGTAGGTATAGTTAAATAATTGAATTTGTTTCTATTTGTATTTATTATTATTTGTATGCTCTACTACTGTTTGCTTTTAATACACAATAATACAAAATTCTTCCGTTGAAATTCGCCTCAAGCCGAAAATACCTTCTTCTGGTTTAACGATTTTTGTTATTATCTCTCCCGGCTAAATATTACTCTAAATACCTACGCCCACAAGTCTCAAGTTTTAGACACACATTTTTGCAACGTCACAAAGTTTTTTTTTCATCATTATTATTTTTATAGTATTTGTTACAAAAATGTATTGACATAACTCACAATATGAATTCACAACTCACTAAGCTTGTTAACGCGATAAAAATAAAACGTTTTTCTTTAAAAATCGATTTTCACCCAACAAAAAAAAATACTTGTGAGTTAAAATCCAACTGTTGGGTAATGTGATTTATATATTTTTGAACCAATATGAACAATATTATGACAGTTCTTAGAGTAAAATGTCAGCTATTTTGTACAAAATTCTAATGATATTGTATTAAAACGTTGAGTGGTCCATAAACAGTTTTCAGTTATGCAAAATCCATAAACAAATTCCTTGAATCCATAATAACTTGAAATGAACTTTTTGAACGACAATATATAATAATTAGTATATATTCTATATGGACCGAGTGTAAACAAATAGAGCTAAATTCGTGTATCCAATTTTTAAATTTAATTTTGTCATGTTTTAAAATTTGATTATAACTAATAGTTTTCAATTTTTTATAAAAAAAAAAAAAGGTTAATTAAGAAAATTATATTTACCTGACCTTTAAGTAACAGAGTTGGTGGTGGGTTCGCCCCACAACTCTTAAGTACATTCTGAAATAAACATAAAATAATCTACAATAGTCAACCTTGAATCAATGTACAAACTACTTATTTAAAAAAAAACTTCAGCCGCCGGTGAGTGTAATTTAATGTGAAATTGAAGTAATTTATTGTTTCGATAATTTTTTTAGATTCAATACTGTGTTAATAATTATAAAATAGAAAAATGTGTTTTTAAGAGTAATAAAAGGTTATAATAAAAAGGCTTTGGGTTGGATAGATTTAAAAATAGCTAAGTTTTTTATCACATTTGCTAACAGCAGTATGGCCGGCCAATGGGTACCAAATTAGTTGTAGATCTCCGCTGGGATGAATCGCAGTAACAGTGGTGGTGCTCGGGTAGCTTGAAAACACTTATGTAGTACTATCTATGTATATTATAAGTGGATATATGCGTTTATGCGATAGACCCACTTTCAAACTCCTAATTCCTAGAATTCCTAAAACTTCCGAAAAATATTTTCCGGAAGGGTTGTAACGAATTTGAAGACTACAATTTATTTAACAAGTCTTACAAACTTGCAAATGTTCGACAAACTCTCAGAGCTCAAAATTATAATTAGATTAAATGATCTTAAATCATGTTAAGTTTCCCCCGAAAATTAACGCATATCTTAGCAATTAACACGAGAAAAAGTACCTTTATAAGTGCAAGTTTTATAACGCATTATGAAACTTGCATTCAACATAAATCATAATACTGTACACCCAACTTACAAAAAAAAATTGTATTCATAAAAATATCTGCGATGCGATAAGACCTAATACTCGACTAGTATAAACACAAAATTCCCATTAGAACTATAAAAGCTATTCGTATTTTTTACCTAACATTATTTTTATTTATTTAGTGTTTAGAAACTTTTAAATTATTGATACATTATGCTATTTTTATTAACCAGCGAGGATTACCCTCGGCAACATTTGCACTGTTAGTTATAATGTTGGTAGTCGTTTTTGTGACCAAATAATAAGCATAAAAAAAATGAATATGCATTTTACAGTAATACGTACCCCCTATATAGGGGTCTACCTAAAATATGAAGAATTTTTTACCCGCTTTTTTTAACTTCGTCGTATTCGTTATGAACGTTTTATTTTTTATACTTTACTTCGCTAATTATTTTAATCGCTTAAATGAAAATATATTTTTTTATTTTCTGTAAAATAATATTGTGCTTCAGACGTGTCTTTTCGCGCTCACGGCTATGATTAATGAGTTTCACACAGTTCACCTTTATTTCTTCGTGTTTATAGTCTAAAGTATACACAAGACAAATAGAGAAAAACCAAATTTAATCATTCGAATGCCAAAAGCAATAAAGTATTACCATAATAGTGTCAGAAAAATGCGACAGAATTGTAGACAAAAGATAGGACGAAAAGCCCTTCAGAAGACTTCCGCGAAATAAAGACTTAGCGAAGACTTGACAATAATGATGACGACGCATCTGCAGAGAATATCTCTGTGGACACAAAACTGTCACTTTAACAAATGGTACTTTGTCATGCTTTTTCACTCCAACCATGTTCTGCTCTGTTCGTGATAATAATATCAACGTTGGTCTCCTTAGGGACAACTAATACCCAAAAATTCGTTACTGAACGCGTACCGTATTATAATATTGACAGTTGTGAGTTGATTTAAGCATAACGTTTCATCAGCCTAACTACATATAAGAAAACACCAAATATCAGATACAAAAAGGCAACACTCGTGTATCACAATAATTGGGAACACTATGCTTGCAAATATTTATCAAATAATAAATGTTATACCCTTATCCAGTTCCACAAACGATAACATGTTTGCTATCTCTGATCTATGTGATTTCCTATGTAGTATACTTAGTATACTAAGTATACACGTCATGTGGGTGCCTAACGTGTTGTTGTATTTATGTTTCAGCTTGTTTTCCGACCTGAGGACCATGTCTGGTACTGCTTTGATGTATTTGTTGGCCAACATGTTTTTGACTCAACTATTTTACGTTGTCGGAGTCGGCGGTGTTCAGGTACGGTAAAATTAAAAAAATATTTAATACATAATATTTGTTCATTGTTTCGATATGAACGACACAGGCATTGGACACATTTAAAAGTTTTTTTGATAAACATGCATTTGCAAATTTAAGTATCCTTAAAATTATATTTTAGATAACGATGAAAATAAAACATAAATACACAAGTACCTAATTAATAAGTATTAGACAAACATTTTATAAAATATACTTTAATTACAATGTTGTTTTAATATGAATTTGTAATGGATACGTAGGTTGGTACTTATCTTATTTCATGTAGACATCTGAGTTTTGTTTCATTAAACAAGCGTGAATAAATAACGATGATTGTAGTTTGAAACACAAACAGTATAAGGGCTCTAATATTATTAATACCAAACACGTCATAGTTAAAACTTATAGTTCTACATAGAAAGTATTAATATCCAAAATCCTTTAAACCAACAAAGTATAAACTGATTTATCGTTATACTTAACCCCTAAGGTACGATGAATTTCTCGGTTTAAACATATTATAACAGCAATCACAATTATTTCTGTGGTGTTTGAGCAGAAGAATAGAACCGCAATTAGACTTAAAGGAAATCAACCCAAGTTCTATTGTTGATGCATCTCATTTTAATATGTCTTTATAAAATCCAAGAGATGGACATATCCGAAAAATTACAAAATAGCTGTTATTGTTGGAAGTTATCAGTTATTATATAATTTGTATTTTTATACAACATTTTCAACAGTTTCAATTAAATATTTATGCTTTTTGTTCGTATTGTGTTTTTTAACAATATTTTTAAATATCTGATTCTTTATATTGCATATTATTAAATCGTATTTCAAAAGAATTGTAAACTATAATAAAAACGCAATATTAATTAAATTTATTTTTGTGCGCCGTTAATATTGTTTCTATTCTTATTATTATGGTTTAGAAGATAATAAGAATACATTATTTTCGACCACCAAGAGTTTTTTATGTAAAATAAATTGAAAACTTTATTAAAAAACAACACAGTACCTAAAAAACGTTAGTCTATTAGTGTAAAAAAATGCGAAACGTTTTTCATTGTTATATAATACTCGGAGGACGAAATAAATTTGAATGTTCAAATAAAACACATATTTTTCTAGTTGTTTTTCTCTTCCTTTGATATTTATGAAGTGTACAATACCTACTTACTTATTTTTTTGGAATTTTGTTCGAATTCGCGTCCGGTCGTCGACAACGGATACCGTTGTGGATCCCTGGGTTTTTACGTACCAACGGACTACCTGCGAAAAACGACGGTCAAAACTTTGTAAATTGTTTTTTTTTTTACATTATATAATGCTGTGTTTAAAGTAGCAACATAAATAATGATTGTGAAAATATAACAGTATATAAATATACTGTGTAGTCAACAGGCAAATAAACGAAATATAACTTTGAGGTATGTATTTATATAGAACCCGTATTCGAATGTGCAACGAAATGAAAATAAAAATATTAATATATCCTTGGTCAGGTTGGATTCGGTTTTATAGTTTTTTTTCGTATCTCTATAACATTTCTTGTTAATCCCGGATTTTGTTATCCGTGAGAATTGTTAAAAAAAAAAATGTACAAGTATATATCATATTGTATTCGGGTACCTGAAATTAGCAGCGCTCAGTGATAATATTATTCTTTTCTATGAAGGTTGAGACACTTGTAACGTTTTGATAATTCTGAGATAATCCTGTAGTTTTTTCCCTCTACCGAGCATGGCGAGGATTGCAATTTGTCCTCTGAACCGTGAAATCATTACTCCGGCCGGCGAGTGGACGAACAGCAGCGTTTCCCTTAACAACCCGCTTACACTCGCTTAATTTATCTTGTTTTCGGGATGGAAATTAGTCTGAACACACCCAATCGGTGAAAAACGGACGAATTTACATTATCCGTCAAATGGTAATTTATCAATTTTGTTATGTTGATCCTCCCCCTACCCCCGGCTGGTGACAAATAACTGATGGGGGGCCATGGACCTTGCGAAGACGGATACTCGCTTCTCGGCCGTGTGTATTGCTGTCAGGCAATTTTAGTTATCGCCGGATTTGCAAATATTTTCTAATTATTCGATCCAAACGACACTGGATCGAATACCCTGTATGTAAGAACAAGATGTGTTCTCACACTATCCAAGGGAACGCCGGCTAGAGCGACGTGTCTTGTTGATGTTGTAACGCGTTGATTGCCAAAAAACCGTCCTAAGCAACCGAAAAATGTACACGGTAGCGCTCCAGTACCTCAAAACGACAGCAAGTAGCAAGTTTAATATGTATATGTACCCCTCGAAAATACAACCTACTAGTACTGTCCAGACGAGCCATGTCGAATCTATGTTATGTTATCATCAAGAGTGAACAATGGCCGGCTTACGTTGTGTTATTACAATTGAATTTTGGTCCGAACCATTGACTTCTGGCCAAGTTCTAATACCCTTACTGTTGGGCGTTATTCAATTTAAAAATTGTTTTGGGATTTCAGGAGGACAGCCTTTGTTTGTGTTTGGCGTTCGGAATCCACTATCTCCGCTTGGCCGTCATCAGCTGGCTGTGTGTCATGACCTACGACATGTTGATCACATTCCGGAACAACGTTAACCTCAACCCAAGACCAGAGCCCGTCAACGTACTCGTGTCCAGATTCGTCAAGTACAGCCTGTTTGCATGGGGAATGCCATCCCTGTCGGTGATATCGGCCAGCGTCATGCGGGCAATGACCAGTCGTCAGATCATCGACAACCTGAACCCTTACAACTGTTGGTAAGCTTTATTTTTTTTCACCTTAAAGTTCATCATCAAAACCAGCCAATACAAGCCACATGTACAGTAATAGGTTAACGAAGTCGTGTAAAACGCGATCGTCAAAAAATGTTAAGTATTTCAATCACTTCGACAAACGCTTACACGTGAATCTTTAGATAGTATACGAACAGCCAGCACAGAGACTACATATCAAAAAATACCGATTATACTACTTCATCTTATACCGTAGGTTTAAACAAACATAGCCTCATAATTTCGTTAAAAAAAAATTGTTTTTAACTGCTAACAGTAGATTAACATGGAATTACAAACTTTTGCATAATAATAAATCCATATTATACATCAGTTGTTAATATTAATTGTATACAATACAGAATTAATGCTACATTTGCATTCCACGTAAAATATCTATAATCTATGAAAGCTTATCATCGCATTATATTGTGGTATACATTGTTGCTGGGTGCAAGTAAGGGTGGGAGAGGTCGGGAGCTTAGAGACAGTTTAAACTGCCCAGATTATTTAGGCAATACGCGCTTGATAATCATTGTCGATTTTAGCATCAAAATTAAGTTGACAAATGCTGTTTTTTTACACTAAAAGTGTTTAAAAGTAAATTTTTGCCTGGACAGCGGACAGGAAAAAATTATCTTTACCAAATTTGATACAACGTGTGATCGATTTAGGTAGAACTCGAGTAAAACGGTCCAGTAGGAGTAAAGCTAAGATCTTACACTTTAATGACAAGGCAAAATATGTATGTATTTAAATGTAACAAACCAATTAATAAATAAACGTGTGTATCTGAAGACTTGAAGCAATAGGTTTTAAAGTTATAAGAGTTCAAAATTAAGAACAGGAGGAAGGGGGAGTGAAGTATTTTTTTATCTGCACGCATTACTCAACCGCACTCCACCTTCTGTCCTAATTTTTAAACTCTAATAACTTTAAAAGTAATTACCCCAAACTGATTATCGACGAGTCAACATTTTCATCATCTCATTATTCTTAGTTTAAAAAGTTAATTAAATATATATTAAGAATATGTTATCATTTAAGTTTCAAAAGTTGATAAAGCTTTGAAAAATACTAAAAAAATAAATTTAAAAAAATATATAGAGATAGATTTATATTAGTTTATTTTAAAATTCTGAGAAAAATATATATTTTTTTCTTTTAAGAAAACCCTAAAACTGCGAAAGATAAACAGGCTTAAAACAATATTTACTTTATTTAAATAAGTATATTTTACTTTATTTTGTTTACCTAACGCGTCGACAAACTTGAAGAAAAAACACTACCGAAGCCGTTTTCAATTATTGTGTTTAATTTTTTTAATTATCTTCAATAAAAAAAAAAAAAAAAATCGTCTTTATAATGGAGAACGAAAAGTAAAGTAGAGAGTTTTTATTTTTTGTCCGTGTAGCTTTGCCAACTCGTTAGCTTATGCAACGTAAAAACCTCTTTTTTACATTATTTATAACTTAGTTATCCGCGTTTACCTTAATCCGTTGAATAGTGTACAACATTGTTGTTTTTCGTTTACATAAAGTGTTACTGTTACGTATACAGTTACTTTAATTCAAAACGCACACCCACGTGTACTCGGCTCGAGTGAGCTTTAAATGTATTCAAAAACCGAGTGTGTTCCGTATTGATACGGTTATAAACATCAGCTTATGCCTAGCTGTTTTTACTTTTATTGTGTTCATAAAAGCGCCCGTTTTGACACGACTGCCTTTTTTTTTATAAACGAGTGGAAATTTTGTTAAAAAACTGATATTTCAGACACGTTTCGGTGTCTTAACGCCGTTAAGCGTTTACAAACATTCAGTCTACAAAACGTCAGTTAAACTCGGTGCGAATACTAACGAAAACTTTTGATTTCGCAATAAGCGGACAGCTAAAACAACAATTATTAATTGTTTAATATTCTGATTTGAAGCAAGTTGAATAACTCAAGTCCTCTCTTTTCGGTTAATTCGAGAGAAAAACAAACACCCTGAAATAATTAGTACCCGGCAATTGATGTGCACGCAATAATATTATTTTTTTTACATCCCACAACGAAATTTCGAAATTAAAAATGTTTTCCCATACTGTTTGGTCGATGATTAGTAGGATGTGTGTTATAATAGTGTTGAATTTTTGTTTGAGGTTCTGGAACCTGTTCGTGTAGACTAAAGAAAATTATTAAATGTGTAATATTTAGTATATCGAAACATTTGTGTTTTTTTTTCACTTTACTTTATTTCCTTAAAAAATTTGATGTTAACATATTATAGGAAGTTTGTGTCTGGATCATACTTGGGCAATCAGTAATGCTATCAGCTGTACTCTAGGTTTACACGATTTGTTGGGCGTAATCGATTATATGGTGATTAAAATTCTAGTAATCGATAACTAAATTAATGGCTAATGCATTAATCGTTCTCCTCGGGAGAGGCATCGACCACTAAAACTACTGCTTCCACCACTAATATACGAAATAGGTATCAAGTACAACATAATATAAAACCATCTATTACTTAGTATTAATTAAAATTTAATAGCTGACTAATTTAAAAGTAAACGTTTAGTAATAAAGTAAAAAAAACACATTCAACAAGTTGGTTTCCAAACACTGTAATTCAGTCGTACAAATTAGGTTAAGATTGATTATGATTAATTTGTGTTTTATGAAATTGTTTAAACCCACAGTAAAGTTTAATAATTAGATTAGAAGAATATAATAATTAACAGTTAATTTCCGCATTAATTACTGTATATAAGCGTAGTATAATGATTATGTCTGATTTGTAATCGTTAATCATAATACTATTTGTGGCCGACAGTTACCACGTTTATACTATGCCGTCGTCAATGCGCATTGGCGTTTGGGTTTATATGTATTTTGGAGTTAGATTTAATTCAATTGGAGTAATCTAATTAAAATAGTGTTAATTCGGTTTGAATTTTGAATTAATGCGCGTTAACGGCTGCTTATAAACGTGTTAAATATTCGAAATGTAAATTCGGCGTCGTGCATAACGGTTTTTCAATCGCGTGCGTTTTGTTTTTCAGGTTTTTCGAAACGGACATCTATAACGTGACGTTCGTGGGACCGGCCCTGTGCTGTTTCGCCGCGATCGCGGTGTCGCTGTTCCGCAGTTGGCTTACGGTCAGGGCCACCGTCGGCATGCAAGTGGACAAGAAATCGCGGTTGAAGATGCACAGGAAGCGCACGCTGCAGCTGCACCTGTACGGCAAGATCGCCGTGCTAATGTTCGCGGTCAACGTGTTCGGGTGCGTGGCCAGGAACGGGTCGCCCGCGTCCGACCCGGTTGCCTGGATCGCGTACAACGTCGGCCATTCGCTGCAGGGCATCCTGGTGGCCCTGGCCGTCACGTGCAACTGTCAGGTGCTGAAGATCTACACGAGGTCGTTCTCCCGGCGGCGCCGGCGGGTTTCCAGGAACGGCAGCGAAGTGGCCCTGTTCGACAAACGCGACAACGACATCAGCGACACCACTTACCTGCACAACCTCACCTGGGACCCGGTCCCGTTGCCCGTCTAGGCAACCCACGGCGCATAACTCGCGTGAGTTGAGACCACGGCTAGTTCAACGTTCAACGAAACTCGAGTTGTCTTGCACGTTGGGAAAATTCGTTCTTCTCCTGTCCGACCCGATAAAGACGTTAAGTTTTTCTTTTACAACTCGTCCATCTCATCTCTATACTTCACCCATAATAATAATACAGTGAAAGTGAGTCACAGTGATACATCATAATTCGAAACCCAGCGGTCGCTCAAAGGGTCAAAACGAACTGGACGGGTTGTATTCAAATTGTATTATATTGGGTCTTTTGGGTCTGTACACAAATTATTTATATTTTACAAAAATACAATAGAATTTATAGTTTTACATTTTAAATTATTAAAACTAAATAGTTTATGATTATCATTTTACTAAAAAGTAAAACCCTAACCTGATAGTTATTAAGCTGATAGTTACCCGCCGTTTTGTAATCAGAAAATAAATATTATTTGTAAAATTTAATTTGTGGGCAAAATCAAAAAGTAATACAATCAAATAATTTTTCCTTTTCGATAAAATAATTTATGTTAACATTGTTTTCACCCCCAAATTACCATGTAAAAACATGTTAATAGATTTTGACTTTACGAACTTTCTAATTTGTTGTATTGTTTTAATTGTGTACATATTATTATTAAATAATTTATATTGATTGTCGACGGAAACCGTTTAACAAAAAAGAGGGACGAAAAAGTGAGACATGCATAAACAGAATGATCGACTTACGATTACTTACCTACCATGGTAATGCATAGATAACTGTTTTGATAATGTAATAAAATATAAATATTTTACATTATAATATATAGTCATTTATTGTATTGATGTATTCTCAACGTATTATAACAACTACAATTAAATTTATGTTAAGCGAAAATAGTGTATAATATATTATTATCTAGTCGCTATAACTTATAGTACTTCTTCTGTATTATATTAATTGTAAATTATACTCAAAACTTTATTTTATGACTATGGATGTATTTTATAAAAAGAGTTCAACGGTTTTTGTGTTGTATTGATGTCGAGTAAAACAATATTGGTCAAATATCAAAATATCGGTAAAACATAATCATTCCGTATAATTTAATAAAACAAATCACGGTGATAAATATCACAAAAATTATAACTTTTCGTAAAATATTTATATTTGTTTTGTTCTTTTATCTAAAATCTACCATTCGAATATATTATTATATTATTATTATACTTACTATCATTAATTAATTTCTTGTTTGCACAACCACAAAAACTATTAACTTTTACATATCTATCGGTTGAATAAAAAAAAAACTACCTGTTATGATCAAACCTCATAATTTATATATATTAGGATAAAAGATAAACTATTAAAGTATAATTATTACAAAAGCGACATTAAATTGTTTATTTGGAATAATCATTAAATATTATAATTTATAAGCGCACTAAATGTACACCGTTGATGTAACTTACGCAGTATTGTCTGTTTAAGTCGAGTGTTTAAAAAATATTACAATTAATATCGTTTTATTATTATAGAAAATATGATTATCGTGTCATAACAATTGCATTGTTAACTTATTTAGTTTTCGTTTTGTTGTTAGTGTGTATATCTATATTAATGATTATGAAATTTTCTTCACATTGTATATTGTTTATAGCCATGACGATAAAAATGTTGTATAATAAACGCAACAGTATTGCGTACTAGCAATCTGAATAAAATATATATTATTTATTAGAAAACAAAATCAACAAAATATACTTGTATTGTTTTTATTTTGTTTTGTAAATTGAATTTAAACAGTTTCTTACGAATATTATATAATGCATAATATGTTCCGTCGAAAACAGCATCAATAAGCTCTGAACGCAGTTAACGAATGCAAGTACAAAAATACCGTATCTGATGTATGTTTAAGGGACAATTAATTATTAGAGAGACTATACAAAATAAAAACAAAATATGTTAATAACATCTCCTCCAGATAATCAAACATTTTTTTTTAGGAACATACAATAATTTACAAACTAAGTCAAATCAAAAGAAACAATAATGTTTAGACAAATATTGTTCTTGTGGAAACTATAAAATTGTCTTTAATAATTAAATAACGATTTGTTATGCCGAATGAAACAAAATTTCCTTAGAAACAAAATTTGATAAAAAAAAAATGTATTCCTGATTTTCAATTTGATATTTGTACATTAAGTCTAAAAGAGCCAATCGTATGTAATTTTTGAAATTTTAAATAAAAGATCTTGTTTGTTATTTTTTCCATAAGCTCTATGTAAAATGTATTATACATTTTTTAAAACCTTTTACTTTTTACACAATGTAGAGGGTGTTTTAATTTACATTAAAGCTAAAAAATGACATCGGCCTTTTTTAACCCATGGTACAATTATTATTGTTTATTACTATTATCCCTAAACCATATTTGGTTACTAACAATCGTTAATAATAATAACAGGTGTATTCAAATTAATATAATTATCAAATAAATGAAATATTAAATGTAATATTGCTGTGTTAAAACTGGATTGACTGATATTGTTAGATATTTATGTAGAGTAAAATACCAAAATGTAGCATGACCACAATAGTTTTATTGATGATAACCAAATGCTATGAATCAATTTGTAGCACATGCTGAGTAATAATTCATTATCATAAACTATTAACTAATACATATTTTATATATTTATGAAACTGTGATATCTAAACGTACGTATTTTATTAAAACTTACTAGTTACTTAGTAAACAACACTTGGCCATACTATTGATTACAGGAAAATAGAACTCTGTGTACAATTTAGAAATCTATATCTCATCGTAATTGAAAGAAAATATACTACAAACCAGATCTACACACTATAGTTACTTTGGCATAGAAAAGGCCCAGCATATAATTAATATGGCTGAAGTCGTCGGTGCGGTGTTCGACGGATTGACTTTGGACGGTAAGTACCAGTTAATTGGTCACATCCGAAGTCAAGTTTTTCTGGGCCACGACAAGTTCAGCGGAGAACAAGTAGCCGTCAAGATTGAGGTAAACGACGCGAACAGTAAATCGCGACTTCGGCACGAGCACGAAGTTTACAACCACCTCAGAGACGAAGTAGCGGCTATACCGTCCGTCCTGTGGTACGGGCACGTGGGAGAGTACTCGGTCATGGTAATGGAGCTGTTGGGACCACCGTTGGACCGTTTGCTGCACAAGTGCGGCGGCACGTTCGCCGTAAGCACCGTGGCCCGATTGGCGGTGGGCGCGATCGGGCTGCTCGAGTACTTGCATTGCAAAGGATTCGTGCACCGGGACGTCAAGCCGGCAAACCTGCTGATGGGCCTGGGCGGGCAGGTGGGCCGCGTGCACCTGATCGATTTTGGGTCGGCCAAACGGTACCGAAACGGTAAAATGCACGCGCCGTACGGCGAAGGGATTCCGTTGGTAGGAACGCTCGAGTACGCCTCGCTAAACGCGCACCTGGGCTTAGAAGTGTCGCGGCGGGACGACATGGAGTCGCTGGGCTACGCGCTCGTGCACATGGCCAAGGGCCTGCCGTGGGACGGTCTGGAGACGGCCAGCAGCGTGACGCAACGGCGTGAACGCATATGCGAGAAAATGATCTCCACGTCGGCCGAAGAACTCTGCGACGGACTGCCGATCGAATTCGTCGCGTACTTGGACCATTGTCGGCGGCTGCGGTACGAAGAGGCTCCCAAGTACGCGGCTTGTAAGTACCTGTTCCGGTATATATGCGGCGATGACGACGCGCCGTACGACTGGACACTGTTGGGCCAAAACGAATGCGTCCGGAAAATAGCCGCCGTCGGCAAACCTGACACGTTCGAAGTCAGTGCAAACGTCATCACACCCGACACGATTTCGTCTCTTAACTGTTCTGTACACACATCAACGTTTATATAACTCGCAGTTTATTAATGATTTGTGTACCAAAACTTATTAAATGCCAGTAGAATATGTACATAAAATGTCATTATATTAATTAAAAATTAAGAAATTATTTATTGGTATAGAATTTACTGATAAACCTACTCGTACTGCCTGTGTATTCGCTATAACGTGGTACCTTCAATTATTATTTAAATAGTTTTTTTTTTTTTTTTATGAAAGATGATAGTAGTAAAACTTATAGCCAAATTTCTTTTAGACGAAATTATGTCTAACTACAATATTGTAGGTACAGACGCATCGCTGATAATGTAATATTTGTAAAATTAATAACTTCTCAGCTTTGCACTGAAGCTAAGATGTTACTAAAAAAGTTTTATAATTCATGATAATAGTTATTTTTTCTTTATGAAACGAATAGTTTCTATAGTTTTCTTTACGTTCAGATTGTAAATGTTATTTAAAAAAAAAAAAAAAGTAAGCAGAATGACACAATAGGACGTGGCATGCCACATGTGCTTTAATGTTGTGTGAATAGGTATTATACCTACTGTAATGTAGGTATATAATTATACTAAAGTCAAAGCCAAGGTTAATATTAAATCTCTTAATGAATTGATATAGATAATATAATATAGATTAATGATCAAATCAAAGTAAAATGATTTTATCATTTTTAACCATATCAACATGAGTGTTATCATAAAATTGATAACACAATTTCTTTTTGTAGTAGGTAGTTTTAATAAATTACTCAAATTTTTTTTATTTTCTACCGTGTTTTACATATTCTAACGGTACTGCGGCTCTTCTGGTGCTAATCTTGTAAGGAATTTTTTTATCATCAAATAATGTCCTTAAAGTTATTTAAAATGTTCACTATGAATTGTGTAAAAAATAGAAATTTATCAAGGTATATGAGTACTGTAGAGAACAAAAACTTGTGAGTATTCATCAGTGTAAACTTGTACATTTTATTCAAATTACGATCCCATTAACTATAATAAGAATGAATTATTTTATTTTCAGAATTAAAGTTACTTTTTGTAAAGCTAACGGTGACAGAGTCACGGCCGAGGGGAAAAAAGGAGATTCACTATTAGACGTTATCGTCAACAATAATTTAGATTTTGATGGATATGGTAAGATTTATTTTTATATCCTGGCTTGTATGGTTATTATTTGTAAAACAATAGTTTTTTATTTACTTTTTAGGGGCGTGCGAAGGCACATTAACGTGTTCCACTTGCCATGTTATTCTAAGTAAAAAAGATTATGACGCGTTACCAGAAAAACCGACTGACGAAGAGTTGGACATGTTAGATTTAGCGTTTAACTTAACAGATACGTAAGAAATCAGATTGTACCTTAACTATTTACACTTTTTTTTTGACTGTTCAATCTAAAAGATTTCATTTGCAATGCGTGATAATTTCAGATCTCGATTAGGATGTCAAATAATTTTAGAAGACAAATTAAATGGCTTAGAAGTAAATGTACCGGCAACACTCAACGATGCTAGGTATAACTAAAAATACCTAGTTTACACTAGTAATAATCGTATAAACTAACTATTGTGTTAAGCATTTCGACTAAGAATGATAACCAAAACATTATACTAAAACTTTTTTTGTACATTTTTTAAATTAAATATTTTTGATAATTTAATTACCAAAATAATTATAAATACATAATAATATTAAATTTAAATCTTATAAGATATCTTACAATTGAAAAAATGTTTAGTATTAACTAAACATTTTTTTATTATTTAAATTAAATTAATATATTAATTAAGGTTTAAATTATTAAATATTTCTTTAACAATTCCAATTATATTTTAAACAGTTTGTTAATTAATGAAAAAAATATATTTTGATTGTCTTGTTATGTTTGATACTTCAAAAAATTGTTCAACATTTTACAAACTAGACTATTTATTTATTAAACTCATGATATACAATTTTCATAATAGTAAAACAAAAAAAAAACTTAAAATTATAAAGTTAAAACAGGTTAAATATTGCATATTTTATTTGGTCAATAGAACAACTATTATGTTGGTTGAAATTTTGTACAATAATGTTTTTTGTAGTTATTAGTTAGTGTTTTAGTTTTTTATTTTATAGAATCATAAATCGTAATGTTGTTTATTACTATTTTTGTTACTCATTAAATTATTTAATACAATCTTAACTAGATAAAAGAACAATACACAACATATATTATACATTTTTTATTGTTTGATATATAATTTTACAAATAAATTGTTTTTATTTCAGAGATTAAAAAGATACTTAAACATACGTTTGTAATCAAAATGTTATACCACGTTTTTATGGAATGTTGTTTCTTTGGACTGTTACAAGTAAATATAGTAAATAAACGTTAATCGAATTTAAAGCCTTTTTGTTGAAGAGCAATTTTTGCTTCTTTTATTTCCTAAAAAAAAAAAGAAATTGTACAATTAAATAAATATAAGATATGTATAAAATGAAACATATTAAATTGTATAAATATTATTAGCTTTTATAAAAATAAATAAATCAAAAAGCTTGTTTACCCCTTGCAAATCCATGGCTGCGGAATTGCAGTTGTTGAAAGTGGCGACTCGATATAACACAACGATTACTGAGTATATCTAAACAGTTACAGTTATAAAACTAAAACAATAAGTATATCGAACAAAATAATGTATACTTACACCAAATAGCCCTATAACGATTATCGGTAGAAATTGAATTATGAAATAGTAGTCATTTACTATTTTTGAGTTTTTATTCAAAAGTAAGCTTAACCATAAAGCACACGCTATGTTTAACCCGACTAACCATTGAGTTAATTTATTCATTTTAAAATTATTTCCCTGGTTTATTCATTCACAATTATTACACGAATTGAAAATTGTTGATCACGGCTCTATCCTTTTTGTGAATCTTAATAATCTATAGATTTGGAATAATATGAACTGTTACACGCGTTTGTTTACTTTTTTTAATCACATTATAATAGGCGATAACAGAATATGATAACAATATTTGTTATCATTTCTATTGTGCCGATAAGGTATAGCAAACTGCAAACTGTTCATTTTTAAATTTTGGCTCACGTTGTTCTTAACAATTTTGCATATTATTTTTCAGTAAATAAAAAAATGTGGATATTATTAATATTATGACATTAAACACATTAATTTGGTTTTTAAATTTACTATTGGGAAAATTACGTTTTTTTATTGGTTTTTTAAAAAGTTCTCATCATGATATTGAAGTTTTATTCAAATCTGATGATTATTTAATTGTCAATAAACCCGAGGATGTGTTTTTGAACAACCATTCAAAAAAAGTTAGTTGTTGAGTTTTGTTTGTTGTTAAAACATTATATTTGACTAATTTTATTATTATAGAGCCCATCCTTAGACGTACTACTTATTGCCAAATTCCCGCACTTGGTTGTTAAGAATTTAGAACATGGTTTTTATTTTGTACATCGTTTGGATTATGTGACAAGTGGTGTGATATGTATTGCACTAAATAAAACAGCATGTTCTACTGCTTCGAGTAATTTTCAAAAAAGAATATCTAAAAAATATTATTTGGCGCTACTCAGAGGACACGTATCTGTGGATAATTTGGACTTAACTAAAGCCATTGGTATTTTATTACTTTCTGCATAATTATGATAAATAAATATTACTGTTATATTTTTCTACTTGTTAAATTCAATTACTTATGAGATTTTTCATGACTTAATTTATATTTCCTTTACTTTAACCGACAACTTTTGTCATATACGCACACTAGTTTTATGACTACATTACCATTATGGTACAACTCACGCATAGGATCGAGGTCATAAGACTCGATCATATGAGTTTAAACATTTGTTTTAGGTTATTGCTCCGAAGAGATATCTGGGAATCACAAGATGTGTACTGCAGAAAATAAGTGTTGTTTATCTCCACGTGATGCCCGGACTCGATTGTCAGTTTTAGAACGTGGTATATTTATGTCGTATCCAGCTACCAAAGTCCTAGTGCAGTTGGTAACGGGACGTCGTCATCAAATCCGCGTACACTGTTCTGATATTGGTCATACGATAATTGGAGATTTTACATATAGTGGCCGCAAAGATATAAGCCCGAGTAGAACATTTCTACATGCATACAGGCAAGTGTATATTATTACTATTGGTAAAAAAATCTTAATTTTCCCAACTATGAAATTATTTTAACTAAACATTTATTTTTATTTTTAGACTAGAATTGTATGTTAAAGGTATAGAAGTTCAGACAGACGATCCTTTTACAGAAGATAAGTTACAGGGATTATGGAAACCAGTTGAATTTATTAAACAGTTATGCAATCGTGACACTTTGAATCATTTTAGTCAATCTGAGAATATTGTTTCATAGAAACAATATCTGAGAATATTATTTTAATTTACTGTTGACAATAGAAGTCTGATGAAAAATTATTTTGAAATAAATGTTATATACTAGAAATATTTTTATATTAGTTAACCACATAAATTGTGATGTGTAATATAATTTATTTTTATACAAATTTTATAGTAGTGTAAACCCGAAAATATATTAAAAATAAAACTATTTGTTTTTTTTTACACATTAGTCATTAAAAAAATTAGTCTCAACGATTCATGTAAAAGTTAAAGAAGTCAGTATTAAATAATGTTTTCTGATAGTAAATAGTAAATAGTAAACAGTAAATATTTAGCTATAATTAATTTAACTACACGTAAATACCTGGTATTTAATGTGTTTTTAACACATCAACACGATAAGTTTAATGGATAATTTTAGTATATTGTTAAACTACCTATAATTAATTTTTTATATTTACTGGTGAGTGGCCATAAATATACCTATCTTATAGCAACAGTGTAACCAGTGAAAAGTGAACCTTTTAATCAGGGAGACTATTAAAAACAAATCTACACTGTTTAATGTAAGGTAATAAAAGTGTTGGCTTAAAACGCGTAATAATTAATTACTTATGATCTCAATTTGTTCCTATACTTTGCAATAATAATAATCATTACTATTGCAATTATATGTAGGCATAAAAATAATCTTGTTTTTATTCAATTTAGTTATTTTTATTTAAACATTTAATTACCGTCATAAATGTAAATAGGTAGGTATTTTAATTAGGAAGGGTATCTGGGTGTATTGTCTAATGCTTTAAAAGTTTTCTTTTAATTTGGAAAATAGTTCACTTAGCTTTCAAATAAATATTCTTACCAAATTTAAAACTAGATTAAAAAAAAATAATATTGTATTATTTTAATTTTAATAAGCCATTTATTAATTTTTAAAAAAAATTCTATTTTTTAAATTATATTGTTTTTAGCTTCGACTCGAAGCTGAGAAGATAATTTTTTCAACTGACGTGTCAGTTATGTGACTAAAATAACTATCGAAGTCGACTGTCACTGGAACAAAAACTTTTCACATTGATAACTTTTGTTTTACTTTGATCACGATAATATCTAGGTATGTCAAACTAATTGCGAGCCATTAATTCTTCCAGTTGTATTATAATATAATAATTTTAAAAAATCAATCAAATTTAGGTATATACTTATTCTATTAAAATTTACTGAGTTCATAGACTATAGTACTATACTATTATCTCGCCTTTGTTAAACTTTTTGCTCCGTTTTCAAACATTTTTATTTGGCGACAGCCGACAACAACAAAATTGTTGATAAGCGTTTATTATTAATATTATAATTGATAACAGCTATATGATAACAATATTTTAAAATCTGTAGCTTAGTATGTAAAAATCTTGTCTATGGTAAAAATGTTCGATTTGTGGTAATGTTTTTACTTTTATTTTTGTTGAGTGTCTTATAACAAATGTTTGTGGTCAATTTTAACGTAGTTTTATGAAAGCGGTTCAATCAAAATCAAGGCATGGGCAATCAACTGGTTGGGATTGCTCCATCGGAGATATTCCCAGTCGAACACTATTTAACCGATCACACACAACTACAGTTTGATGCCAGGTAAGTTTAAATTTGTTTGTAATCTTTAGTTGATGTGAATAAATCAAATAATTTTTTTTTTTTTTAATTTTAGTTTGGGCAGTACAAGGTTTTTCAAAGTAGCTCGTGCTAAATCGCAAGAAGGCATGATTGTCGTTAAGGTATTTGCCGTTCATGACCCAATGTTGCCATTAGTTAAACATCGAGTACGCGTAGAAGAAATCAAGACAAAATTACAATCTGCAGTTAATTGTTTATGTTTTCAAAAAGTCATAGTAAGAATTTAAATGGAATGTTTGTACCATATTTAAGCAATTCATATACAAACTTTGTTTTCAGATGTCTGACAAAGCAGTGTTTTTGATGCGGGAGTATGTCAAATACAGTCTGTATGATCGAATAAGCACGAGGCCGTTTTTGACAATTACAGAAAAGAAATTTATCGCTTTTCAAATATTATTTGCTCTTAGACAATGTCATACCTTAGGTGTATGTATTTTTTAGTTACACAACATTAGTCCATCTAATTTTCTATTCTAAAATATTAAAACATTTTAAATTTATTTTGTAGGTATCTCATGGTGATATAAAACTAGAAAACATTATGATCACATCGTGGAATTGGGTTTTGCTTACCGACATTGCTTCATACAAACCTACTTATTTGCCTGACGATAATCCTGCTGATTATTCGTTTTTTTTCGACACTTCTCGTAGACGGCTTTGTTACATTGCACCTGAACGGTAATTGTTAAAACCTTGATAATAAATTATTTATTTCTACTGTATATTACAGTCTGAACAATAATTAAAATAATGTTTTTAGTTTTGTTAAGTCATCCACGGAAGCTAATAACCAGTTGTTACCATCCGAAGATCACATAAAAAAGGGAGAACTGACACCAGCTATGGATATATTTTCAGCAGGGTAAACTCGAAAAGAATTCAACTAAAATTTGTATTTTTATTATTTTCATATCGTAGTGCTAAAAAAAATTGTTTTTTCAATTAGGTGTTCAATAGCAGAGATGTTCACTGATGGTCATCCGCTTTTTGATTTATCACAATTGTTAGCTTATAGAAATGGAGAGTACGATCCAAATCCTCACATAGAATCTATAGAAGACCAAGGAATTAAAGTAATCTATTTTATAATTCAACGAATTGCAGATTATTAATTTTTTTCTTTTGTTGTAGGATCTTATCAAATCTATGATACAACTGAATCCAGCTGATCGTTGTTCAGCTGAACTGTATTTGGATGAAGAAAAAAATAAAATTTTTCCGGATTATTTTTATTCCTTTCTACAGCCTTATTTACAAATGTTTTCTGCCACCGATCCCATAATTTCGCCCGATGAAAAAATTGACAGGTAAAATTTTGTTTGTTAGCTGATATTATTGTAATAGATGAATTTCATTGTATTGATTTATATTTTTAGGTTAAAAAGTGATATCAAAGGAATAATCAATATGTTACTTCCGTCTAACGATTCAACCGAGTGTACAGAGGGTCTTGTGTTAATTGTCCAATTAGTCACGTCGTGCATTAGGTGATTTATTTTACTCTATTCGTAAACTATCGTAAATGTTAAAAACTATTTTAGGGTTTACTAATTTGTCTATCGTTACATAACAGAGGTTTACACTTGTCAACGACAAAAGTTCAAGCCTTAGACGTCCTACTCGAGTTGTCAAGGTACTGTTCCGCCGAGACGGTTTTGGACCGTATCGTTCCATACATTGTAAGTAATATTTTGTTGTATTGTTTTAATGTTCATTTTACAACTATCCTATAAATAAAAAATAATTATAGAACAATGTATATTTATTTAAATTTATGATTTTAGTTTCACATGATTCAAGATGTGTGCCCGGGCGTACGTAAATCTGCTTTACATGCTTTGAACAACATGTTATCGACAGTGAATAATTTAAAACCGAGCGATGCCAACACTTTTCCAGAGTATATTTTTCCAGGACTTATTAATGTGAATAAAACAAATAATAATAACAACAATACATCTTATGAAAATGTTTTTTCAATATTATCTTAATTACTTGTAATCGTTTTAGGTTGCTCACGACGATGCTGTTATAGTTAGGACAACGTTCGCTCAAATCATCTCGCAGTTAGCACAAACGGGTTTGAGATTTTTGAAATGTTGTCAGAAAGTTAAAGACGACGAACCAACAACGAGTGCATTTGAAACCGAATTAGCCACTCTACACGAAATGGTACAACAGTCAGTGTCTGTTCTTCTTACAGACAGTCACAATATCGTGAAACAAACTCTCGTCAATAGCAATATCGTTGAACTTTGTGAATTTTTCGGCACACAACGAGGTACTTTTAAAACGTCATACTTGTTTATGTGTAAAAATTAATTTTCTGACTTGTTGATTTGCAATTATTTTAGCTAATGATGTTATATTATCTCATATGGTGACATTCCTGAACGATAAGACCGACAAGCATTTGCGTGCATCATTCTTTGAAAATTTTGTCAACGTAGCTTCTTTTGTCGGCCCTCAATGTTCACCTATATTGAGTCCGCTTTTACAGCAAGTATGTACTTCTCATCAAGTCTACAATCTATTTAAGTCAAACAATATAATCCTTACATTTTTACTACTAATTGCGATTGCAGGGTTTTTCCGACAGTGAAGAATTTGTAGCCAAAAAAGCACTCAACGCAATGACACTGCTAATAGAAAAAGGTTTATTACAGAAGACGGCCCTTTGTCATTTGATCAGTGATATATCTTGTTTTCTTATACATCCAAATCTGTGGATAAGACAGGTATGTAAACAAATACAAATGAAAATTTATTCAATTATAAATTGACTTGAAAGTTGTAAATAAAAATATGCTTAAACCATTTTTTTTAATAGTGAACCGATAAAATGCTGAATGCTATAAATTATTATTATTGTTTTCAGGCTACTGTAGGCTGTTTTAGTACTACAGCGAGAATATTGGACGATGTCGATGTCCAGTGTAAAATTTTACCTGTCATGAAACCTTATTTAAAACATTCAATGATTCTAGTAGACAGGGAAGAATTAGTGTTGAATACTCTAAAGGAACCTTTGCCGAGAAATGTTTACGACACTGTAGTTAAGTGTTCTATTGTAGATACATTTGTGAAAATATTGGGAGAACGCAAAAAAGCCAGGACCATAGCTAACACTGGTCATATACCTTTACCGAGTGTTACCCAATCAATGCATCAAAATAGTGCCTTAAGAAATGTAAGTCATGCATAACTTGTAAAATATAAATATGCAAAACCAAAACTTAAGCCGTTCATTCAAAATTAATAATAATTTTCGCAACATTAGTTGATCAGGAAATTGGAGTCGGAAGGAATGACTGAAGAGGTAGAAGATCAATTGTTTGCATTATCTGTACACATTTTGAAGGTCCACAGACAATTAGCGTTTGACAATAAATATGGATCAAAAGGAAAAGTATGTGTACATCATTTACATCTGATTGAGTACATTATTATTATTATCGTTTTCAACAAATTGATTATTTTTCAGATAAAGATTGGAAATTCAAAAAACAATGTAAACTGTCATTCGGTGTCGTTGATGCAATCTCAAAATTCAAAACTTCAAGAGTCATCAGCTACTAATCGTCGAAAGTGCGTAGACGACCAACCGGTTGCGAACATGAACGACGAATGGAAATGCATGTTCGGTGGACAAGAATCTTCAAAACAGATGACACATTCCTCTCAAAATCCGTAATGTCACTTAATTTTTAACCATTCTTTACTGTTGTGTTGACTAATTTAGTTTATTTTCATCAAAAGATCTCCAGTTGGCGGCTCTTATACATTTGATGTACAGCCTTCGCCATCTCATAGCATCGAAGGACCGAATGACATGTCATATATCCACTGTGAGTGCTTTATTTTAAATATATTACAATTAGTGAGTATTTTTTAACATTGTTTCTGTTCAGACCGCTATGCACCGTGTAGGCTAGAACTTGGCAAGCTGATTTCTCACCGACAAGAGTGTTACGAGATGACTATGAGACGACACGAGTGGGCCGAGCAAGAAGTTTGGAAACCGAGACTTCCTCCACCCGGTTGGCGACTACGTTCACAGTTAGTTGCTCATCTGCATGAACATAAAGCTGCAGTAAATAGGTACTTGATGGTTTTTTTTTTTTTTAATTGTTTTTCAGTTGCTTAAATGTATGTATGAGTAAGTAAGGTTTAACAAGATTGCTAATAATTTTAACTTGTACATTTTCAGACTAGTGTCCATTCCAAACACATCGTTATTTGCCAGTTGTTCGTCGGATAGTTATGTACGCATTTGGGATTGCGTTAAAATGGAGGGTAAAAATATTGCGAATCGTTCCAAGCAAGTGTACAATCACCAAAATGGAGCTTTGTACGGTATGACGACTTGTAGAAACAATCAATCATTGGCGACAGTTAGTCATTCGGGATCAGTAGTTGTTCTCAAGTATGTTAAATAATTATGTACACAAAAACAGATTTTGAATTTGTATTTTTCTGATTTTAGTATAGATTCAAATAGTACCAAACTGCCCGTCATTCAGTCCAAACAGTTGGATTTGCACGAGGATGGATGTGCTATCGACGTATCTTATTTGGACTCTGGATCCCAAATGGTTCTTGTGTACGCAACCGTGTATGGTTCTCTCGTCGGTTGGGACCTTCGAGCTCCCAAGTTGGCTTGGAAGGTTAATAATGACATAAAACAAGGTAGATATAATAACAGAGAAAAGAACAGTTTCAAACGAATTCAGTTTCATTTAGAAATCGACTTTGTATTTTATAGGAATCATAACAGCCATGTGCTTGGATACAAGGCAAAGCTGTTTGACTTTGGGCACAAGTAGCGGTTATCACACTTGTTGGGATTTACGTTTTAGGTTACCGATTGCCACAATAGCTCATTCTAAAGGTAATGTTTGCATATTTTACAAATATTATTATTAAACGAGTAAAACTTATGAATGGCATTTTGTTATTAGCTGTGCGTGTCAGACGACTAATTAGACATCCTACAGAGTCGTCGTGGATCATATCGGCCATGCAAGATAACAATGAAGTGACCGTGTGGAATTTGGAGAGCGGTTCAAAACAGCAAACTCTTTGGGCTAGCAGTGCTCCCCCGTTATCAAACAGTCAGGTAATAAAAAAAAAGGCCATCACAGTAGGATCTAAGAATAGTGAGATTGGGAAGGCCATAAGGTCTTTAGGAATAGAAAAAAAAACATTATTGTAAACCAAAACCTACTAAGCTCCGCATCAAAGCTAAACAAATTATCAATGAATCGACATTAAAAACCCAACAAATAATTTGTTACAGACTAACAACCACAGCGTTTGCGCATTGTACACTATGAACACTGATCATGGTCCAGAGCTTTTAACCGGCGGCACAGACCAGAGGATTCGCAAATGGAATCTCACGTCACCGGGTGATTCGTACATAGCCATACCAGCCGCAAGTGACGTGATGGGTCATTCGCTTTACTGCTACGAGTGTGTAGATGTTACTATATTTATTTCATTAACTTTCATCTTAAACCTGTATTTTAAAATTAGGTGTCGGCTGGTGGACGGCACTAACGTCGTGCAAGAGGTGTGCACAAAATCGAGTAGCGCTGTGATAACTGGTGACGAAGAGCCGCCGTGCGCTACTGATCAACCAGCGCCGGGTCACGTGGGTTCTATATTGGACATCACATCGTGTATGGCATCTCAATGTTTTCTAGTCTCGGCGTCGTGTGACGGTATCATCAAAGTGTGGAAATAATGTGATAAATACAAAAAAACAAATATTAATATTATCTCGAACACTGTGTTTCGGCCGTTTCAATTTTTTTTTTTTATATATAAGATATTAAATAATTATGTTATTGTGATAGTGATGTAACAAACTTTTGGAGTTGCACACGTTTAACTGTATAATAAATTTATCTATGTTATTTTTAAAAACAATATTAGGCATTTTATCATTCTCATATACACCATTTTTTATTGGTAAAAGAACACAATTTTCAGTTTTTACAAGTCTGATGTTGAGGAAGTCTGTAAGTAAGATAAATTACCAAGGTACCACTGTGTTTCTGTTGAAATTTAGTGTTATTTGTTGGGGGTTTATTTTTTGTAGTTTCATTGATATTTACTGAAAGTCTTATACAGAATACACCACCTTAGAGTGTAAGTTAAAGGTGTAAACTCGCTGACTACATTTTAAAATCCGTTTGTTACACATTTTTGTAAAGAGAAAAAAAAAGAACTTTAAGTACATAATACAAAACAACGTCACGACAAAGTACTTTGTCGTCGTTCAAAATAAATATTCCTATTATAAACATTTTTTTTTAATATATTATTTTCCTGAGGCGTAGTACGGTGTACCGTATCAAATAATAGTAAAATATATTCAATTTTTTAAGATTTACCATCGAGAATAGTTGTTGTTTTCTTAACAAATAAAAATACAAACGATAAATATTATGACGCCAAGCATTTTGTCGGTCGTTCAATAACGGCTAAGCACTTGGAATTGGCCTATTTGGCACAGACAAAAAAGTGACTTCTCCGTTTTTAAGAGCTCTTTATTACTCTCATCGCTATTAATTGACACTTCCGGTCGGTATTATTATATTTGGTGTGATTTTCGACTACTCTGTTGTTAAGCAGTAACGAGGATAAAGAAAACTTTCAAGGATTTTGCCAGTCGTATAAAATTTGACCCAATCAAAGCGGCGCGGCGCTACTGTGTCAATACAAACGAGTTTTATATTTTGCGTTGGGCCAGTTTTTTAATGAAAACAAAACAGATTTTACAATAGGACAGACAGCGCTTAGACGAAGCGGCGCCCCTTAACAATATTACAATAAATTATTTGTCTTGGAATTGTGCCAACGGATGACTTGTTTCCAAATAAAACGCCGACCATTATCCTATCTGTTTGAGCTCTTTTAGCATGGTTTAACGTCATATTATTCTAGAGTAATCTGTCCATGGGCTGACCGTAAAAAAAAAATATTGTAAATTAGGTACTTGTACGAACCATAAAGTGCAAAAAATATCATCTTGACAGGGCCCGGGCAGCAGCTGTGACGTTTGGGGAAATGTTAATTTGAAGAAATAAGTTGGAATTATTTTTTCATAATAATTATAAAATAAACGAATTATTTCGATAATTTTTAAACATAATATGTACTTTTTCAATTAAACAAAATGTTTGTTTCAATATGAGTTTTTATTCGAATAAAAACATTTTAGAAAGATTCTTTCAAAGTAAATCGTTTTTAATAATAATAATAATAATTTAAAATAAAAATTCAATAGGTACCGAAGTTTTACGAACCCGTGTTTTAGAACTTACAAATCTGAGAAAAGTGCTCATATAAAAAAAGACTTAAACGAATTATGTGACAAGGGTATTTCAGCGTAAGCATTTTGATTAGAGGACCGAGTTTAGTAGAAAATGTTTCCAATTTGCTGTTACCAAATTCGCTGAAACTCTAATCGACAAATGCAATTACACATATAATCTGCAACCGAGAACGGGTCGACTTGTTAAACGTGTGACTTTACGCGTCTAACGAACCGATACTGTCCCTTTGGCCTTATTATATAATTGCAGTAGGTACACTCACAAACTCGAGCCAGCAATAATAAAATAGGGTCAATTGGGCAAAATTCAAATAATCGAATATTAACCTGTCTGGATGGGTTAGTAGTGCACGCAAAATTCGAATTTCGAAACATAATTTTTTAAATATATCGATATGGATAAGAACATTAATTTTACTATAAGCCCGTAAAGTTGATAAAATACTAAATTCAGTATATTTATGAGTGTCGTTGAAATGCTAAACGCAGGTAAAACTTGCCCGCTTACCGTCAGCTATAACATTGTGTTCTGGTAAGTAAGTTATATTATACATTAAGCATTATTATTGTCCTGTTTGTGGTTTCTTTAAGGAATTCAGGCCACAATGCACAAGTCTTTCGCGGCTATCCGGCAATACCCTTTTTAATATATTTAAACAGGTACGTTTCGAAAGGTTACAGTGCACGAATCAAAAGTAACATTTTGCCTTCTTGATTTTTTTTTGTTACTAACATTTTCCAATAAGTTATACGCATTTGAAAAAAAAAATAACTCGTTACAATAATATTAATCAATATAATAATACAACCGAGGAACCTGGTAACGGCGGAACGGATAGCGGTGACTTTATTTTAATAACGCTAATGACCAAGTACAATAAAATTTGCTATGCACGATCGACCGTCTTAATAGGACTTGCTCTAACATTAAATTAGATACACTTTCAGCCTGCGTGAATGGAAGATTTAATAACGGCCGATTTCTTTGGGAATCGCTTATGAGGAGATTCAAGGAGGCTCATATAAGGAGAGATTTGAAATGTAGAGAATCGGTTAGGTAGATATTCTTATCGCTGCTTCAAATTCTGTTGAATTAGGTTAATACCGCTTTTGATATTATTTGAAGTTAATCCTTTAAAATTTGTATATCCGGCGTAATAGATAGGCAATATAAGTGCATAGCTATTAAGATGGCGTTCGGTGACTTTTCTGATAATATTCAACGGCGTACGATATTTTTAATCGAATTCAAACAATGCTTACACCATCTAAAAGTCGTAAAATATTATTAAAATTATTCTACGCTTTAGTCGAATAATTTAAGTGCCTATTCGTATTTTATGCGTTTATAAAAACATATTATATCAAATTAGCTATAAATATACTGTATTCTATGTAGAAGCTTCACTCTCCAATATTTTGATTGCACATTAAAATATGTAACAAGGGAAAACCGTTTAATAAAAAAATTACTAGTCATTTTTACATTTTGCATAAATCACTATGGTATATTCTCATTACGTTAGCAATTGGTTTTATTGTTCGGTTCCATCACAAACCAATTTTAAAAAGCACGAATTTGTGTTGAATAAAAAATCTTAAAAAGTAAATTAAAAAAAAAAGTAATTAAAAAGTAAATTCAATTGGTTTTGTATATTATACGTTCGTTGTTTTAATTTCCTAGACAGATTTATATTTTTGAACATTGTTTTATTTTATGATGTATGGTAATTATGTATAGGTATGTATTATTTTTTCTACCATTTTACCGTGTTAATACGGTTCTCGGGTAATTATTGTAAACTGTTATGTTGTGTGTATCAGTGTATAACATAATATGGTAGATACTCTTAGAGTGTATCCGATTATCGTATTGAGTTGAATGTGTTAATTTGTAAACGGAGGAATGGATATTGTTACATTAAATGAATTACACCGTGTGGTCTCGCCGCAATGTTTGCACCTGGAAACTACCACGGGAACCTAACGCAGTAAGGGAATAAATCATTAAACAGGATTTACCGTATGTATTATATTAGCATGCGGTCTCTCCTCGATTCGCTTATGCACCAGCCATGACACTGGAATTTGCGCTTAAGCAAAAATAAATAATTAACGATAAGTCCCCGCCGCAGTCGCGGTCCAGTCGAACGTGCACAAACGGTGTACTTTCGGTAGTTTGCTAAACGAACAGCTACACTAGAACTAGAATAATAATTTGGGATCAATTATAATAAGTGTGGCAAAACCTACATCGAATTAAAAACGATTCCGCCTCCTCCAGATCAGCAGGTTTTTCTTTTTTTATTCCAATATTTAAAATGTCCATTTGCGGACAAATTGGTTACTCTCTCTCGATGCAATATCCTTATTGCTTCTGATTCGTTAGCCTTCTGGCTGTTTCTTCCAATCATTTTCACTCCTCACTACCTGATCGCTTGTTTTCCTAATCAAATCTCTATTCATTCTATCTTGTCGATAGACAAGCCCAGAAAGTAAAGTTGTAAAGTTTCTCTGGGTTCTAAGTAATGCCGGAATTGAAGGCAATGAAATTGCTGATCGTCTTGTTATTGCTACAAAATGTTGTTTTGCACTTCTCACATTTTAAGATACCATCCTCTGACCTTCTCTCTAAGCATCGTTCACTTTTGCATCACGCATGGCAAGCCAAATGGTCCATCCTAGTTTAACAGGTCTCGGGGCCCAACGCTGCCACCGTGAGACGGTTTCATGACTATACTCATAATAGTCTGAATTTGTTCTTTTCTGCTCGATTCGTGAATAGGTTTTTTACATTTTTTTGGAACGAAGTTCCTTATTTTTTTAACGACGGGGCTTAAACCTCCGTCGCTTGTAAATCCTAGTTACGCCGATGCGAATACACAGATAGCCGAATACATTACTACACTGCGGTCGGGTTGATCTCTTGTAGTTGGCGCGTCTCCGCAGGAATAATCCACACCGTCGCCGGCGATACTATCGAAATGAGTTATTAACCCGGCGTAAGAAAGAGTCAAAAAGCGACTACCGGGAAGCTTAAGTGTTCCAGGAAACCCCGGTAATCCCGTATGAGGACGTCCCGCCCCGGATAGTTTGTTTCTTTTTTTTTTTTTTCGCTGCTACTCGAAATCTTTGTTTGGGTTATATAAGACAACGTTTTTCGGCCTACGGTCAAGTATATATATATATATATATATATATATACCAAAGTACAGAATGTTTATCTTGGGTAGGTATTGTTTTGTTTTTTTTTTTTACCTTTTTTTTTTTTTATTTACTTATACTATGTCCGCCCAAAAATAGCTCGCCATCTGACGGGGACGTGTCGCCCCCGTCCGAAAACGGGTGTCCGTCCGCCGTTTGACCGACGCGCGCTTGCGAGTTTGTACGCCGTGCGGGTGTCCACGTGTAAGTTTGTACACCGTGCGGGCGTGTGTGTGTGCGTGTGCCGAAACGCCGCCAGATTGTCTACTGGTCCGCTGCCGCTGCCGCCGCCGCCGCAACGGTCCGCCGACGACGTCGCCGTCACCGCGAGCGACAGTAAAGCACAAAGTTTCGGCCGCGTACAAGGTGTTGCGATTGTTGTGTGCGCGCGCGTGCGACAGAGAGACGACCGTCGTGTCCCGCCAGCACGACCGTCATCCGTAAACACACGGAATACATCACATCGCACACTATTGTCCTGTTTGGCCACCGAACCGGTGTCTCGCGCGCCCGTTCCCGCAGGATTTCTGGCACATCCCGTTTTGATATTATTATTATTATTATTATCCCGGTGCTTCCTGTACGACCGTCGTCCGTCACCTGTAGACGTCACGCGGACCGCTGTAATGAGGCGCTAATGACCGGATGTCACGACAATCGTCCGGAACGCCTTGAAGCCCGTCCGACTAAATGGATGTGTACGTCCTCTTACAGGTAAGGGCCGGCAAGTTGTGTATTTTTTTTTTTTTTTTTTATTAATATCATTAAATTCGACTTGAAAAATTTTTTAAAAAAAATGTATAAAACTTAACCCCCCAACGGCCACGAAAAAGCAATGCCGTATGTAGACTTTTTTCGGACGAGGTAAAAAGTATACCTTACAATTTTAAGCGAGACTAAATTTAAAACACAATAGTTCATAAAAAAATCACAAGATGTTGAAAAAATGTTGAGCGAACACCATATGGACCCCTTCCACCCTATAGATATAGCCTTGGGAAATAGTAGCTTGTTAAGCGGAAGCACTCAACTGTGAAAAGAATATATAAATGTTCTTATAAAACATTTTTACAAGAACGACGTTTATAATTAGTGTAAGTGTAAGTTAAATAAACTTTCGACATAATATTATATTTTAGAAAGGAAAATTGGCATCTTTAACATCCAATCTGTAGGAGACTATGTAATATCAAAAGGAGGATCTTGCTGCTTTGGGTCAAAAGAGGCAAGTGTAGATTTATTGATAAAATGGTGCTAACAGCCAAATACTTGCTGTCCAAGTTTGTAATTCTAAAAACAAAAACCGAAAGGAAGTTTAAAATCAAACTTAAACCAATTAACTGTAACCTGATACTAATTTGTCAATATGTCTGATAAAATTTTAGATTAGTCCCTTTAGACACAAATTGTAAATTTAATATTCAAAACGCATAGAGCCATAAGGGTTCGAGTGACCTTTTTTTTCCACTAACGGCGTTCAAACTATACATAAATTATAAGTAAACGTAGTTGTTTTGTATGTGTTTTAATTGTTTTTCTTTAATTGTATAAAAGTGATTAGTACCATTCTGTCACTGAAATTGTGTATAGAAAAAAAAAACTTAAAACGTGTATTTATGTAATTTATTTAATTCCAAATTAAAATCTTTTCAGAAAATGTTTAATCGTTTTGCCTTTTTCTCAATAGATCTATTATATTAAATACAACCTTATAAAATACTATGCCAAGAGAAATCCGAATAAAAAAAAAAACCTTTAATTAAAACATTGTTCTTGATGTCAACAATAAACTTATACTTAACTTATGACTTATACGAACCCGTGTACCTATCAAGTATTGTTATGCTTTATGTTTAACAGCGTCATTGCTATACCATACTATTATGTAAAAGTAATAATGAGTATTCGTGAAAATACTATATTGGATGGAAAAAAACTTAAAGATTAAAAAATAATGTAACTAGTTATGTACACAGCTGTAGCCTGTAGTATTAGGATTTTAGGCTCTTGAAACAGTTCAGCTATCATATTTTGTATCAGTTATTATATGTTTTAAAATTTGCACTCTTCGTCTAATATCATAATGTTTTTTTACAATTTTAAAATCAGTTGAGCCACCCGACTATCATAGTGTGATGAAACCCCTCGCCAGTCTGTTAGCCCTGAAATTTGTTGTGCTTAAGCCCCCCCCCCCTCGTATATTTAATGGGTGATTTGCGTCTATGACTACTACAAAAATAATGCAACATTAATTGCGTTAAAGACAGATCACACTGTATTTTGTACTTAAGTTTGGGGTTTTTTTTTGCACGGAGACATTTTTTTTTTTATAATGAAATTCACCACTCGGAAGCGGCATTGTCTTAAATCAAATTAGCGACGGTACTTAAGTAGATTAATACATAAATTAGCTCGTAATAAAAATAAAATATAAGAAGTAGACTTCCGTGAGAACAAATATATATATATATATACACCGTAGCCGGATTTTCAAGAAAGCAGGCCAATCATAAGATTCTCAAACGCACAAGTTTGTTTTATATCTCTTTTTTTTTTTGTTGTAAACATAAAACAATCGTGCGTTTCGGTTGTGCGGTTTTTATTGTCAAACTTTTGTTAGCAACATCTGTAAACATTTTTGACATTGAATATTATTTTGTGCGGACGTGACATTAAAATTAAACTTATCCCCGCGTAAGCACACATTTATTGCCAGCTATCATTTTTGAAAATCATCATCTTTGTATATAAACCGTCAACATTGGTCATTGCGGTGTTGACAATCGAGTCACATCAGTTATATTTTCAAAATAAATATGCTACCGGGATGAGGATATCGAAATTTATAGCTTGTTTTTTTTTTTTACAACCCACTGATTTATTGTAAAGTTCAAAGTCCCGTGTTTATTTTGAGTTGGTTTGACAGCTCTTTGTGATACAAATTTAAACATGACCTTAGTTTTTAAAATAATATAGTGGTTTTTGAAGAGAAAAAAAATTATACCCGGTTTGCAATAGCAGGTTATTTTGTACAATAAACGTTATAACACAAGTACAATACTCGATCAAAGCAGTGTAACTAATTAGCTAATAGTAATGGGAAAGTTACAAAGCTACTGGTTTTTGTAACTGTACCTTTATATTTATGTAAATTGGTTCAAAAAAACATTGTTTTCCCAATTGTTAATTTTTTATTTATATACATTTCAAGTAACGGGTAAGTTACTTGATTTCTCGCAGATAACATTAACTCGTTCAATTACAAAAAAACGATTTTTGTAAAAGTGTATTTTAGCTTCGACTAACAATACCTGAGAAGGTATTTTTTTATTTCACTATTAATTCCCTTGTATTGTTGTACCCGAGACATTCGATGCGATCGTCGAGTGTTTTTTCTGTATACAAACCACTATAGTACAGTATAATCATAAAATAAGGTAATCAATTTTATTAGATCTTCCGGTCGTTTGTAAAACTACCATACCATATATACTATTATAATACACCCAACCGCTTGTACTTACTACACAACAATAAACGATTACAGACCGTTTCGATTCGGTTGTGTATGCAATTTCGCGTGTAACCATTACAAGACCGTAGTTATTTTGCCTATCCGTTTAGCCGTGATTTTTAAACGGTTTATTTTTTTTATTTTGGCGTTTTTTTTTAATCAAATTATTATTTACAAACGTTTATTGTTGTTCGTCCGAAATTTCGCACCACACACACATGACACATGTATACATTTACACTGTTCAATCTATTTTCGGTGACCTCACGTGATGTACGTTATAATATAGAGTAAGTCTATTCAAGTAAGACATTTCCAAAATTTCAGACCACTAACTTCAAGTACTTACTTGGGAAATTTGTATTTTTCATTAAATAAATTCTAACTTTGAAACTAAACAATATTTTTGCATTTTACAAAAAAAAAAAATTCAAGTTGAAATATTTCATTTAAAATTCCTCTCTTATGTGTTATCTTAGTATACTATAATCCCTCCCTATCTCTTAATATTTCCCGATACATCATTTTTCATCAAGATTTCAATTGTTGAAATATCAAGTATCATGTTTTCGAGAGATTTTCATGGATCACATTACCATTTAAGAATCTTTTTTTAAATTGTAAACATTTTTATATTAGTTTTCAAGTAAATTTTTTTTAAAATTACAAACTACAAATCTAAACGAAAAAAAAAATAGAAATTCTCGAGGAAATGCTTAGGATTGGGCCTGAAATTTTGGGTATTTCTTATTTGAGTAGGCAACCATCTATTGGCGGGGTTGGTAAAACATTTTTTTTCGACACTTTTTAATGTATTTATGTAATATATTATATTTTATGATAATATTCTGCCGCCATATTCGACGTGTATGCTATTTTATTTTTATCGTCGGGATTTTGTTATTAAACCTCTAAAAATATTACCAATATACTTGACACTTTTCGGCAGTAAAAGTAATTTCAAACCACCAATATACCGCCACTGCGCCGGAACATTGACGTTAGCATATAGATTATTATTCTTCGCTTTGGTCATCAGGGGAAAAAATTAAACCTTACGGGCAAAGTTATTTTTTAAGTACCCATTCTATAAATATAAATTGTTGTTTTGTTTTTTTCACCGTGACGAGAATCGAGCGATTTATTTAAAACGAAGTCAACCAAAAAAAAAAAAAAAGGCTATTGGCTAGATTCATCAAGATTTAATACTCATTGTAATGCATGATCCGCTTTTAAAGCTTTTGATTCGGCTCTCTTAGTAAGTGGTACTAAATAATATATATTATCAAAGATCGTGAAGAACATAAAATATATTGCTCTGTCACGTACCGAAGCAAATGCACTGCTGTTAAACTTCAATAACTGTAACTTTACTGCCGAAGTTATGAATATAGACACTCTCCACGTAGGAAACTTTTTAAGACCCTGGAATCCCTAAGAAAGTATTCGAGCACAGATTTTTAATTAAGATATAGCTACGATTGTCTAAGATATGATATATTTTTGATTTCTAGAACGTACCATTTTTTGAAAATATTGTCTTTTCTGTTAAAATTAAGAAAAATGTATCCGTTAAAATATCAACGTTGGATTTTGATTTTTTTCTAAATCACACACTTCCGGTACAGGGTTTTCAGAGGAGGACAGACTAAATTTTTGAACCGGAAAATATACAAAAAAAGGTCCAAAGTTACTTTTAAGGACACGCCACTGGCAGAAATACATTTTTTTTAAACATACATTTTCATGAATAAAACATTTATAATAAAAAAATCATAGACTACTATTGTAGCTATTGTTATTTTTACCTTTATATTTTACATAAAATTATTAAATATATACCTTTTTTGGTATTTTTCAAAGCTCTATCAAATTTTAAAACCTAAATAATAACGTACATATTTTATTCATTTTTTTAATTATGAATAATTTGCTGAAAATGTTGACTGATCCATAGCCAGTTTTGGATAATTAATTTTAGAGTTATTAAAGTTTAAAATTTAAGACGGGAGGAATGGTGGATTTTAGTGTTGTATTTATATGTGCTCATTACTTTACTGTACACCCTCCTCCCGTCCTAAATTTTAAACTTCAGTTTACCATTTATTTTTTAAAAGTTGATAGAACTCTGGAAAAAATAAAAAATATATAAACATTTTTGAATAATGTCGCTAATATTGTAAAAGAGTAAAACTAAATT